GGCATTCAAGCTCTGAAATTTGCAGCGAAATTAATTACATAATTAGAGCAGTTCTTCCCCTTCCCCAGTGGATCCATTGCAGTGAAGTCAGTCCATGGCCTAATCGTGTGGTCTGTTGGCTATGTGCGTGTGTTGCGGTCCTTTAAATGTTGTTATAAATAATTAAACATGAACAGAGGCCGACGCAGCCGACTCTCTGCCGATGCCAAATACCAATTGATGGCCATATTAATAGCCCCAGCTCGGACCGGATCTGGCATATGTGGGAGTTGGCTCGCAACATTTTGCCCGCATTTGCATTTGCGTGTTTAGGCTATTTAAATATTTCGAGTTACGGCAATCAGAATCATGGATAAGTGTAATGCAGTTTACATAATCAATTCATAATATTTATATTGCGTGTGCTTTATTTACTTATTTACGACGAGTTTATATACGCGTTGCATTATCAATATGTTTGTAAGAGAATTTAGATTTATTTTAGAAATATCATTTACATTTTAAAAACTTCTGGAACTATTTTGGATAATAAAACTAAATTGAATAAGGAATAAATTAATAAGATTGCTTGAAAAATATAAGGAATATATAATATATAGAAAAATATATATAATAAAAATAGGTTTAAAATATATTATTTTAATAATAATTTGATGAATAAAAATTAAATTGATAATTAAAAAAAATATTCATATGAAAAAAATTAAATAAATACAAATTTTAATTCTTTTACAAAATGAAAACAGTATACAAATATGTAGATAAAAAATTTTAAGGTTTTATTAAACAAATATTAAAAAATATATAAAAAATAACACTAAAAAATTAACAATAAATAAGATTTATTGGCTTGTCTTTTAGTAACATGAATTATAAAAAAAAATATTTATATGTATTTATATATTAATATATATATTTTTTATTTTATTTTATTTTATTTAATTTATTATTATTTTTTTTTATTTATTTTTATTTAAGTAAAATATATTAAGTATAATATTATAATATATTATTATTAATATATTTATATATACAAAATAAATATATGAACTCTGCATACAATTAAAGCAAAGATATTCTAATTAATTATTATACGAGCTTTTATTGGTATATTTGCAAAAAATATACGTATATAATTTTAGCTGTTTTCTTATGTTATATAGCACATTTTCAAGTAATTTTGTTTACTAAAACATAAAGAAACTGGCTCAAATCACATGAAACTAACTCCCGTCAAAAGATCAAAAGAAACGCAAATAATGCAAAATACAAGAGATACATGGGCCAGGCAGTTGCTTTTAGGTAAATGACTTTGCTGAGCCCAAGTGCACTTACCTAATTTACAAACTAAATGAGCGAAAAAACAAAATAAAAAATACATACAAAATAAAAAAAAGAAGAGAAGCTCAGCGAATGGAGTCGATGTCAAGTGCTAAGTAAATATACATAAACAAAAAATATATAAAAGGGCTTCTCTTAGCCACTTTGATAAGAGGCAGAGCGACCACAGCAGCAGCCAGGTAAAAGCCTAATGCAGCCAGTGAAAGTGGTTAAGGCGGTTGCCCAGGAGGCGTGTCGGCCGCTGCGCCAAGTGTCTCAGTTGATTCTGCATGCATAATTTGTGAGTCGTGCGTAAAAATATGCAGGCTTTGCACTTTGATAAAATATGCACGCGCCATAAGACGCCGAGCTGAGAGAAGCTAAGCCAAGGATTTGCCAAAGATAATAAACAAAAAGAGAAGCAAAGATACAACACTTTGCATAAGTGATGCCAATCCCCTAATAGTTTTGTTGACAAGCGACAAGTCGAGAGGTGGCGCGACAGGACAATATACTTGTCGCCACTGGCATAACTCAATCAAGCATACGCACTGTGGCACGCGCACGTCATCTGCTCGGTTAATTAAATACGAACTCTGAACTTACCAATATTATGCACGATATGCCAAACGGATATGCCCATAAAGTATCCGGCGTTGAGTTGACGTACACGATGAAGCAGCCATCGGTGCAGAGTTTTACGAGCAGCAAACCGCCAGCGCGATAAAGTAGGCCAAGTCTATAGAAAGGGAGAGACAGAGAGAGAGAGAGTTAAAGAGGGAGAGTGAGCGTGGTTGAAGGAAATTAAAATCGCTTTCATTGGGAGTTGTGTGCGGACTCCAGAGCCGCTTGAGAGCTGATTTTATGGATTATGCTCGTCGTCTGGTCGCAGTTATTAACATTTTCAGCTTGGACAGCAAAAGGGAAATTAGATTTTGGGGTGGACCAAAAGCAAACTAAAGTCTATATATATATATTGAGAAAGCATTATCAATGCATTAGCTAATAGTAATAGTTGTTTGTCAGCGCAAAGCTGAGCAGGATTCGATTCATCCTCGTCCTCGTCCTCGTCCTAGTTCTCGTTCTCATCCAAATACTTACCGCCTGCGCAGCGCCATATTGAATTTGTCCAGCGGATGGGCATGCACATTGCGATTCTTGTGCCACAGCCACAAGAGCTTCTTCATTAAAATGACAAACAGCGCACAGAAGAGCAGAATGAACAGCAAATCGATGCAAACGAACAGAATGAAGCTCAGCGACGGCGACGGCGACGGCGATGGAGTTGCCGATGTGCCGGAAGTGAATGCCGCGGCATGTCCGGGCGTAATCCAGCCAACGGATGGCTGCTTCTCCTGCTGCCGCTGCCCCTGCTCCTGCTGTTGTGGCCAAGTCAATGCCGCAGCTGTCACAGCGGCCAAGTTCGCCTCGCTGCCAACTGTGATTGATGACGCTGACGTGGCGAGAGCATTGGCCGACGGCTCAGCCAGTGTGGGAGCTGTCTGACGTCTACCAGTCGCATTGCCCAGCAGCGCCTCCGACTCGAGCAGTAAATTATCGGCATTGAGCAGCGTATGCGTGGCATAGTAGACGCCGCCGTCCTCGCCATACTCCTCGCCTGCTGCGTCCGTCGGCTGCTGCCTGCCGCCCCTCCAGACCAGCTCCGGCCACCAGTGGCGCGGCCATTTGCCTATGATGCTGCATATTAGCGGTGCGGCAATGGCGAACAGCAGCGGAAGCAGCCAGCTAATGCCGATGGCGCCGCGTATGCCCGCCGAGCCGCTAGACAATGGCAGCGAGGAGCCGGCGGCAGATCTGCCCCGACTCGGCGGTGGGTGATTCCGGCTCTGACTGCGACTCCGACTGCGACTGCAACTCGAGCCATTCGCCTCCGGAGACTGAGCGCTGCTGATTTGCGTAATATTACTTAGACTCTCGCGGCGCTTGGACGCCGCCGCTTGTTTGGTGGGTGTCGGTGGTTTGCTGCCGATTTGCAGATACTTCTTCGGCACCAGCTCCGTGTGTATGACCAGCGCAATGGCAATCAGCGTGGAGATGCCCAGCAGGAGCAGCGAGGCCAGCGAGCTGCTGATTATGGCATGCCAGTTCTGCAAAGAGGAAATTATGAGGCGCATTAATAACGCTCCAGTAAAAGGGAGATTGGCAGCCACTTCGTTGCAACATCATTATTTTTAATTAAATATAAAAAGTTGTCAGCGCCTTACAGCAACAGCAATAGCAACAGCAACATCTATAGCAGACAACACCAACAGTTGCTGTTATACCATTTACGACCCAGCATATATTTACTTGACTGTTTTTTTTTTTTGTATTTATGTATTTCACAGCTATTTACTGGGATTTCCCGCTGCTCTGTCAGCCGTAAAGATGACATCACAATTTGACGCGTGCCTCGAGCATAAATTATTTCATTACAATCCCAACAAATGACTGGACATCACTTATTAAAAAGTTATAAAAAAAAGTTGTGGCCCAGCTTTGGCCCAAATGGCAAAATGTTTTATTAGCGTTATAAAAAGGAACATAACACTCGACGAGCTGAGATTTTCTCAGAGTTGGGTTTATTCACGCGAGCCTCTAAAAAGTTCCACACGCATAATTAATTAAATAAACTATGCATTTTAATTAAATGTTAGAGAGCTCTAAATTGTTTTAATTACGAGCTTTTCTCATGCCAAAGAATGTTGAACTGCTTGCGAACTGCTTGCTACTGGCAAAGTGAACTGCTTGCTGCGGTGTCCGTTTTAAGATTTGTTTCAAGAGGTTAATAAAGAAATTAAACGAGATTATATATTTAAAAAATTTCTGTTTGCGTATGTAAGAAAAATTAAAATAATTATATTATATTGAGTACAACTTTTGTTGTTGTATTTTTTGATCACAAATTGATAGATTTTGAAGTAATATAAAATCGCGAGCAAATATCAAAAACTAAATTACTTTAATTTTGAAAAATAAATTTAATGAAAAATAATTTTTGAATATACTTAATTAATAATATAATAATATAATAATAATATAATAATAATTATTATTAAATTAAATCACTAAATGAATAATAAAAATATTATTAATAAATTATAATTATTAATTATAATAAAATTATTATTAAAACTACTAAATAAATAATTTAAATCAATTATATTAAAAAATGATAACAATTATTTGTATTTAATTTTTACAACTATTGAGCACATAATATAAATTTTATTCAATAATAATAAAAATAATAATTATAATAAAAAGTTGGGTAGGGTTTTTACAAAAATATATTTTTAATAAACGTTTTATATACTTTGTTTATTTAAAAAAATATATAAATATATATTTAACAAAAAAAAAACCGGAAAGTTTTTTATATAATGTAATTAATTAATTATATAATGTAATTAATTAGTTGCAGCATATTCTAACAGCTCATCAAATAACTGACCTCCATAACTGGAATCCAGAATGTAATGCCATTCCCCCTGTCTCCATGCTTAAGCCACAAAGTTCATTTTACTCCACTCACAGCCAGAAGCCACAGCGCATGATTTCATTAGGTTTTGTCATGTCTGGGTTGTGCTTGTGGTTACGTGGCCAATAACCACTAAGCAAATTGCAAGCTAATAGACATTAAATACGTGTACGACCCTCTGATATTGAATTAGAATATAGCATTCAGAGATTTCTTTTTCTGCTTACAGCGCAGCTGAGCTGTGGTTGTGGCTTGAATATTGCAGCCGCAGTTCATTACATTAACAGGATTTCTCTTTCAACACACACACACACACACACACACACACACATACACCTTCACACATGCATTGTTACAACTGTTGCTTTTTGGCTTCTTGGAATCCTGAGCGTGGAGGTCAGCGACTTTGTTGTCTGCCCCGACTGCAGTAAAATAAATTTGTAAACTTTTTAATTTTCAATTCGCAGCGCGAATATTTTACGGCGTCGCTTTGTATTTATGAGAAATTATAAGTTAAGTGCGCTTAAAAGCTTTCGTCTGTCTCGCTCGCTCACAGCCCGCTCTCTCTCTCTGTCTCTCGTGGGACTCGCTGGCGTATGCGTTATTTATTATGTTTTTTAACCGGCGCTGCAAATTGTATTTATTTATACACAAATACATTTGCCATGAGTGAAATGCAAAAATATATACATATATATATATATATATTAATTTGATTTATTGTTCGCGCTGACATGGGCGTGGCAGTCGAACGTCCGCCCACCCGTTGTGACACGTGTCCTTTCGAGCAACATGAAAATTCCATATGTCTTTGCAGCGAGTTGCACGTGTTGTGCGCTTCTTCTTCTACTTTTATTTTATTTTAATGTTAATTTTAATTTACACTTGTTTCACATTTTCATAAATTTGCACGCATCTGCTGCGCTTTTGGCATTGAGCAACTGCCCGCTGGCCGCCAATTCGTTAAATTGCGTCAGCTGCTCATTAAGAGCTGATCTCAAATGGCGAATGGAATACGTGGCAAGCACGAATACACACATCTACACCCACTCAAACACACACTCATTGTCTATCGCTTGTTGCTGACTCTCGTGCCACCGCCAAATTGTGACAGCCAGATGCCTCAGGGCTCGCACTCGGAAGCGTTTGCTTTGAATTGCACTTGAGTCGAGTCGAGTCGAGTCGAGTTTTGTGCAGCCATTAAGTAGACCTCGCTCACTTGACTAGAGCACTAGAATACACTCGCACACTTGTACACACACACACACACACTAGCACACCCTCTTCCGTTTGAAACTTTGTCTTCACTCTGCTTCACGACGTAGTTTTGACGATTGTCCATAAGTTCGTATACCCTGTGCGCAGCGGGAGTGGGCATATTGGATTTGTGAAAGTGTATGTAAAAGGAAGGTGCCATAAGAGATAAGGTATATAAGATATATAAGAGAAGCATACAAGAATTGCAATACCAGCTCTCTGGAAAAGTTCAGGGTATTTCCCAGTCACCCCATCCCAGCCCAGGCACTGTAACTTCTTTCCCTTGTTTCTCATCTCTTTTTATCACTCATTCTCTCTCACTCGCTCTATCTATCTGCACGACTTTTCCCCCTCCGTTCTTTGTCAACTTTTGTCGGTTTTTCTTAACAAACATTTTCGATTGTGTTTTCAGTTTTTATTGTCGCGCTGGCGTTTTATTTGTTTTTCATTTATTTATTTCGCTCCGGCTCTGCTCGCGCTTTGCACTACGGCCCAGTTTATTACTAATTCAGAAATGTAACATCTTGTTAGAGATTTTCGCATCGTCGTTTCACTTTGCTGTGCTCGCTCGGTCTGGCTACCTCTGGAGATTAGGGAGCATGAATTTGTATATTTTGCTTAGACGCGCACTTTTCGCTTTATAATTCAAAAGATTTTGTGGATTCTTTTGGGACTGAAAGGTTCCATAAGGTAATGAGTTTTTGACGGCTCTTCGGACCGATCTCAAACATTTTGTATGCCCAGGGTCTTTGCAAATTGAAAATTTGCGCTTTTATTAATATTTATTTCGACTTTAGTGAGTTGATTCTCTGGAGAACTGTTGTTGGTTGCTGTTGGTTTTTAATTTCCTTTCATTCGGTGCGACAGGCCAACAGGTGGGCGAGCAGCTCAGCACCTCAGCTCTGTTATTTCATGGATTTTGTGTAACGAACTGTAAATTATAATATTTACAAATCCCGGGCCCAGACTTCGTACATTTATTGGCGCATTATTTGCCAGACGACAAGCTAATTTCTTTTTGCAAATGATGTTTATGTTCATGATGATGATGATTGTGATTGTGATTATGATTGGACTGGGGAGAATTTTGGCAGATTACTTTTCATGAAAAGTGGAATTCATGCTTGGATTCCTGCGAAAATTTCTAATTAGAATATTGTGGAGTTTCTAAGCCAACAAAGCATTGATTTTTATTTAGGGCTCGGCAAATGGCTTTTTGTTGTAGTTAACAAACCAAGAATAAAAGAAAGGGCTAAGAACTAATTTCAATTTGAGTTTGCATTTAAGCAGCGGCCTCTGCTTTGTTGCACAGTGTATATATGTAGGTAAAGTGTAACTCAATCTACATTTTTACTATGCATCGAATAAAGTTGCATTTATTTTTCTTTTTTAATATATATTTTGTGAAGGCTTCATTCGGTTTTTGGTTTCTTTTGTTGTTTTTTTATTGCTTTTATTTTTGGTTTTGCCTTTATTTCAGTATTTATTTCCCCGTAATTAAATTTTTCGCCTCGGTCGCCCATTTGCGGCAGGCGGCGCTCGTGTGTGTGTGCAAGAAAGAGAGAGGGTGAGAAAGAGAGAGGGTGAACCACAATGGCAGCTTTTGTTTTAACGCGCCGCGCTTAAAAGTATGCTACGCATTTTTCTGCATTTTCTGGTTTGAGTCGAGTTTTTAATGGGAATTGAAATCAAATTCCTGTTATTTCACAATTATAATTTTTGATTTGATTAAATTTGAAATAAACACGAAAACTCTTCACTTCTGTTTGCTTTTGCTCTGAAGACCTGCTTTTCATGTTATTCGTGTTCAATGAGCTGCTTCCATTTATTAAATTTATATTGAAATATTTATCAATATGTATTTCTACTCACCTCCGGCAGCATTTTCATAAAGCCCAACAGATAGATGAGCATCACGCTCGAAGTGGAGATGCAAAACTGCATTTTGAGAAAGGTGACGGCACACTTGCGATTGCACCAGATGGGCAGCAGAATGAGGAAGGCGCAGCAGCACTGCAGCAGGCAGAGGGCGCAGCTCACGATCACAAAGATGGGCCGCTGGGGCGTATGCGACTGCGACGACTGAAATGAGATAAAATAAAATAACATATGAGTATATAAAGTATTATTATTATTTTTTATTTGTTAAAAATTCTTAAAAAAAAATTATTTTAAAATTAATTTAAATAATATTGATATATATAATAATAAATATTTTTTGTATTAATTATACTATATATTACATTATATTATATATTATTTATAGCATATATATTGAAATATGAGCATATCTAAAATATATATTCACTTATAAAAATATTTACAAATATAAATAATGTGTTGAAAGTCTTTATTAATTAAATGCAATATAAATTAAATATATATTTGAATTAAACTCACAGTTAATATGATCTATTTATGCATGTATATATTGAAATAAAGCAAAAATAAATATTTAATATTAAATGTTCTCTGCAATGCCATAAAAACTCATTCAGTAAGTGAAATTAATGAAATTCCATGAAATTTTTAAAGCTGAATTAAATACACATGATATATTTATAGGAGTGAATATTAAATGATATACAAATTAAAATAATATAAGTATGAAACATTATGCTATCTGAGTCAATTGGCAAGTCAACATAATTGGGATTAAATGCAGAGTTCAAATGTCTTTAAAGTGAATTCCCAATACATATTTATATTTTTGTATGTAAATATTGAAAATAATCAAATGTAAGCAATGTGAAAATAAATATTTAATATTAAATGCATGCCATATCCGATTTAGTTGCTTAGCGCAAATATTTGGAATTGTAACTGTGATTGCTCGCCTGCTGGCAAATAATTGCATGCTGTGAAACTATTTCTCAATTTGTGGCTTTGGGGAATTGGGTTTCGAGTGATAAACTTGGCTAATGCTCTCTGACTACTTACGTGTGGTTGCCTCTTGGTCAGCATGACCACATAGGTGCCGGAGAGCGGGCAGATGCAGCGGGTGATGTTCTCCATTAGATGCTTTGTGATGCAGAGATCCGAGCGCCAGGTGGAGTCAAAGGATGCCTTGTAGTCGTGCCTGGGCGACAGATGGGGCAAGTTGATATTACTGATGAAACCATTGAAGTGTTATCCAACTAATGCTTACCCGCAGACGGCGACCCAGTCGCCTGCTTTGGGCACACTTTCGTGCTGGAATATAATCTCCACGTGGCCGGCTTCAAAGGACAGGTCGAGGGGTTCGCGGAAATTGTCATTCGAGCGATTCGATTGAAACAGCCAAGTTTGAATGATGCGCGAGGCCAGCACATAGTCCGAGTCCTTGGGATCGCTGCAATTAGAGAGGAGACTTTAGTATAAAGGCAAAATATACATACATAACTAATTAAAGACTAACAAATTGGTTTTGCTTAGTCACAAATTATGTAACAGTTGCTATAAATGTTTCTATTCTTGCTTTCGGCTTGTACAAGTTGATATTTATAATCCTCTTTTCAATCCCAATGCCATCTACTATCTCTCACATAATTTTGGTATTATTTAGTACATTTAATATACCAGAACAGCTGCTGATTGTCATGCCTCAGTTGCAGTTGCCATTCGGTATTTCAGCTAATCTTATCAAGCAACGCAAGGACGAGCTGCTGAGTGCATGTTCATTAAGCTCATCACACAGACACAGACACACACACACACATACACATCCTCTCACACATATGCGTCTCTGTGGTTCATTATAATTTAATCAACATTTGTCTGCATATTGGCAACTATTTCTAGTTTCCATTTCATGCCAGATTCAAATCTCTAGCTGTGCTCTGGCTCGTTTTTAGTATTTGTTGTTGTTGTTGTTGTTATTGCTGTTGTGTCATGTTACATGTTGCTTGCAGCTTATTTGCATATTGTTTACAAACTAACAGCTTTACACAGCATTGCGCTGGTGCTTTTTGCAGCTGCTTTAATGCGCTTATGAAAGATGGAATCTCCTCCAGAGCGGCAACACTTGGCATTACACAGAATTATTTTTACAGATATGCATTGAAATTGAATTGCGCTCGTTGTTTAAACTTTATGGGAAAAAGCGAGAAAACTGTCGATGGAACGTGTGAAATAATTCTGCAATAATTTCTCTTATTTGATTATAATATGCAGTTAATGAAATTAGCAGCAAGCTATAATTAATTGGAATTACGTTTAAAAATACGGATTTCATGTGTGGATAAATTTATGGAAAAAAAAAAAATTTAAATATTATATTCTCTGGAATTGTAAAAAAAAATTAATTAAAATGAATAAGGGGGGGAAATGTGAGAATGTAAGTCAGCATATTATGAATATTTTCTTTAAATTGAGAGATTGTGTTTTTAAAAATTAATTAAAATAAAATTTAGTGATATTATTTCGTTTCAGATTATTATTATTTAATTATTTTTCCTTATTTTAAGTAACTGAAAACTTTAATTATTATTATTATTTTATTACTATTATTATTTTATTATTATTATTATTTTATTATTATTATTATTTTATTATTATTATTATTTTATTATCATTATTATTTTATTATTTTGCTACCCACCTGCCACGCGTGTAGTAAGTTTTTGGTAGAAAACTTTTAAGATTCTTATAAGAGATCACAGAAGCAAATATTGTCGAATTGGCCATGATATGCAGCAGACGCGTGGACAGTCCGATGTCCATGTAGAGTTGGTCCGAGAATAGGTCCTCGCTGGAAAAGAGAAAAAATCACACAGTTTATGAAAAAATCATGGCAGGCCGCTCCTAATTAGCTAAATAAGACACTTGAAGGAGCCTAAGCTCGGTGCAGCAAGGTGGCCAGGGCAACTCAACAGGCCAACACCGACCTGGCCAGCCAGTCAGCCAGGTCCTGCGAAAAGTCCTTCAAGTTGGACTTTTTATGAGCAATTTTTATAGTAAGCGAGCGCGTGCGCTTGTTTTATGCATTCATTTATGTGCTTTTTTTTTTTATTTATTTATGTTTGCCCATAAAGCAAATTTTCCATTAGAAGGAAATGCAAAAGAAGAAAAAGAAAAGAAACTGAAGCAGCGAAGAAAATGCTTGCCCCTGCCAGTGTATATTAATCATGCGACCATAAAGTGAAGTCTGATGTTTACTTGGGCTGCAAAATTTGCATTTTCCCTTATTTCTAATTATAAAATTATGCTAAGCGCCTGACATGTGCCAGATTCAGGTCTGCCGTGGCCAAGATATTGCCTTTAATGGCCAGTTTTATATCAAAGGACTTTAGCGTTTTCCTGATATGACAGAAAGTCATTATTATCATTAAAGTAAATATTTTTATAGTGA